TTTATAAAATATACTCAATTACTTTCCTTTTTTACGACGTTAGTTCGCAATATCATCGGTAAACAATACTCAAATGTTTCAGCAAACTATCTGCATACCCATTTTCGCCTGTTCTAGTAAATATTTAATCTCAATGACATCTTAAGTGAATGTGGCGCAAATAATCAGAGTCCATAATCAGTTCTTCTATTCTATGGATTATTCATGAGATATGCAGATAAAGATACACAACTATTGCTACACAATTCATGTGAGCACTTCCCTCAGTCTTCTTGGCACTCTTTAATTGCGTATACGCCACCTTGGCGCTAGCTGTTGACAATTCAATTGTAATTGCTGTGCAGAGTTGTCCAGTTGTCCGCTCGGGCTGGACATAGCAGCTGATTAGCATAAATTGGCTAGCGGACGCACATGTGGACCACCCACTGTTGACAGCAGCAGGAGGGAGGGGGGGGGGCGGTTTGAATTGCTTGGCTTAAATCAAAAAGGGTCGACCGCAGAGCTGATGGGTTCTTTGGGGCGTTTATCTTGATTTGCGAGTTCAGTGCGTTAAACGATAACGATAACAATAACGATAACGATAGCGATAACTTTACCACGTTAGGCACAATTGTGAGTGCTTGAAATGTTTTTAATGTGCCATCTAATTTAAGTAGCTTTTAATTGCTAGATGCGAGTGTCCTTGGGTCTGCTGGCTTCGCAGGCTCATTGAACTTTTCACCGAAAATTATAGAGTTCTTTTTTTACATTACCCATACGACACGTTACACGGGCTCAGTATGAACTCTTGCTAAAGCCAAGTAGGTAGGTTTTTAATCAAATGAAGCCGCTGTCAGAATTAAGAATTTTTTGTTGTTGCTAAAATTCAATTATGGGCAAGGCCTCGCAAGTAATGCTCGGCTCAGTTGCTAATCGAAGACCACAATTAGCCAGAAAATAAAATTCACAAAAGGCCGACGATGACTTGTTGCCCGCGTGCTCATGTCAAATAAATCGAAAACAACAACAATATCGAACAATATACAAAAAAAAAGTAAAAGAAATTCAATTAAAATGGCCTGTCATGACAGTGCAGCACGCCAATAGCGATATACTCTAGCCAAAATAGATATTCGGCAAAGTTGAAATAAAATGAGCTTATGAATAGATATTGATATGAATTGTTAAATTTCTAAGAAGTAAACAGAAATTGGTAAACATATTTTATTTCCAAAAAATAACAGCTGAGATCTTAATAAAAAATACTAAGAATAAACTGCAGTCAAGTTCTTAGAACTTTTTTAACATTCAGCAACGAAATTTTCGACTTACTTTCAAGAGCTGCTGTTTCGTAAATGAGAGTATAGAAATTAAATAAATATTTGTATATATTTATCCATGTCCTAAGCCGAAATGTATTTTAACCATGTGCGTTGCGTGCCTGATGAGAAAGTTATTATGTAGAACATTTGGCCAGGACAAACAATGGGCAACGGGTTGGTCGAACTGCAAATGACTTTCGGCCCGAGTTGGCTTGGCTTGCAATAAAACTAAATGAATTGGAAACTTGCACAAAATTCAAGTTGAACTGCTGACAGCGCCAACTACACCAACTACCCAGCGTTAATGGGAAAACTTTAAAAAAAGAAAAGACCAATGTGAAAGCCCGGGCGAGACGCCCTGCTGATGTCATGCCTGTTGTTCATAAAGAAAACAACCGAATTCTTTGACTTGAGCGTAAGCGAAAGAAAGAAAAGCCAAGTAGCAGCAGCAACAGCAGAAGCAGCAGCAGAACTTGAAAATTGAAAAGCGACAGCTGACAGTTTGGACAGAGAGGCGATTTCTGGTTTGAGTGTGCCTCTTGGCACGTGCTCTATGTGTGTGTTTGTGTGTGTGCGGGGGTTCGCCTTGGCATTGAAAAGGATACATGTGCCATGTCCTGGGTATGCGACCATCTGGCTGGCTGGTCGGCGTGTGCCAGTGAACATATCTAGCGCCCGCTGTTTGTTTAGGACTTTGTTTTGATTAAGTGCCCAAAAATTGTTTTGCATTATTTGCATAAAGATTGAGAAATTGAATGCTTGCTATGAATTTGATTTATTTGCCCTTGTCAATTCGCAGGCTATTCTCTCAATCGCATCAAATAACATTTATGCGTTTATAGGGACCAGGCCTTAGCTTTTATGAGCCGTAAAGCTATGATAGATTCCCTCGCACACGGCCATAAAACTGACGGCCAACAAACACCCAAAGGACGCATAAAATCTTACCAACTACAAGCCATAAAATGGCATGCGCCAATTCGCGTCGGCCATTTAACTGGCCAACATTCCACCTACCTCTCGCATTTAATACATTTTATACAAATTTCGGTATCTGCAATTGTTAGGAAGTACATCATCTGATATATGCTATATATTCTTCAAATATTTTAATGGGAGTTGATAACAAAATATATGCATCTAAATTGTCCTTTTGCTCTAAATGCAGACTAAAGCCAACAAAATGTCCTTAAACTTGGAGAAAATATGTAAAATAAATAAAAGAAAAATGTTCTAAGAAGCGCACATTTAAGATGCAGAATCTATTAGTCTATCTATGATTATCCTATTAAATCCGTTTTGGCCGTTATCTGAGATTTGAAGTGCATATAGTTCTAGGAACTTAACTGATTGGCAACTTAAGAATTTGACTGATTCATTAAGCTGAAGTGCAGTTAATTGAACCTATGACACGCTGGTAAACATTGCGGTCATTAGATGGCTAAGCCAAAGACAATACAATAAGAAGAGCGTCTGTCATTTTATGTTGTCTGCGGCTAAAGGTCATCATTAGCAGGGTCCTTGCTGTGGCCAATACACACGTAATCAGCCAGCCTCAAACACTTAAAGATGCCACTAAATAAGATTAAGTGCATGCCACAATATTAAGTATTTGCATTTTTATTTAACTGCCACAGAGGGAAAGCGAGAGAGAAAGTGCCGTCTCAAAATCTGACAAAAGCAACCGGTAGTTCTTGCTGCGCTGCCGACGTTAACAGCAGCATCGGCAGCGTCTGTTGCGTCGCTGTTAGTGTGCGCGGCGCCAACTGATACAAGATTTTTGGGCCGAAATTCAGTTGCTGTTATTCGGATGCTGCGGCCAGTTGTTGTCGCTGTCGACCAGCTCGTGGGCCGAATGCGAATACGAAACGTGACGCGTCAAATACGCGATATTTCAAAACAAGTAATCATAAATATACGCATTTTTTTCTCTTATATGTTATATATAAAAGCGCCGCCCGCAACACGCAACAGAAATTCCAAAATTTAAATATAAATAATAATCACAATACGGCCATAAACCTTGCTAACATGTTCATAAACAAGTTTTTAGCAAATTGTTACTAATATGTTCAGGCCATAATGCAACACAAATAAGTGCAAAAACAATGAAAAAAAAAAAACAAACAAAACGCAAGGTGCATTGTTCGCAAAATAACTCAAAACAATATCAAAAGCAGTTCAAAGCAATAAAAAATATTCTAAAGGCGAAAAAGAAATGTTGAAAAAAAAAAAACAGAACGCATAAAAATGTGGCAGACAACATTTAATAAATTTCAATTAAACGTGTTTAAAATGCACAAACGATTTCCAGCACTGGCTGATTAACAAATACAAAAACAAATTATAATTAATTGGCTCTAAGTGAATATCCAAAATGTTTCAATGAGCCATTAGAAAGATATGCAAATCCAATTAAAATTTCCACTTCATTTTTGTATACCCTGAAACCATTAAAAGCGGACAATGGGGTATTATATTCTTTAGCAAATGTCATGCAACAGGCTGAAGGAAGCCTCTCAGATCCGATACTCGCTCGATCTGGACTGTTTTAAAAGACTTGAAATTTGAGGTTTATATTTAAGCGAAACATTGTGAGGAACCAGCACAGGCGAAGGTCCTATGACCGAGACTGATCCCGAAACAAGACAAAAATACCGCAACAGTCGATGTCCTGTTATTGGAGTTTTTACAGTGTAAAATTATTTGCGGATTCGATTTAAAGACTTGTTTTCTAAGTAGAGAATTAACAGAGCGAGACACACTGAGCTTCTTCTTTAACATTTATTTCAATACCTTTGTCTGTTTCAAAAAATATCGATAATTATTGATTTTGAGACATGGTTCCTTGAGCTTAACTCGCAACTATAAGAGCTAGGTACACCAAACTTTGTCTTTGTCATTGTTTGTTGATATCTTCAACTATTTCGAGAATATCAAACTATTTATATTTTGAGACTTGGTTTTAAGCATAGCTCAGAAACTATAAGAGCTAGCTATAAAACTTGCATGTTCTTCTCTATAGTTTTTCTGCGCTATTCTAACTCATTTTTAAGGTTTCCATCGTGTGATATGGTTTTTCAAGCATAACTCAGAAAAAACAGCTATTTACTCAAAATTTGGCATGTAGGCTCTTAGATAGAGTACGTTTTTTGGATACCAGTCCCTTTCCTCCAAAATTGAACAAACAAGCTCATTTTTATTTGTATTACATTTTTGCATTGGTATATACGCATATGTTGGAGGTCGTAACGAAGCCCTGATCGGATGATAAATACGGAAACTCTTCAAGAACTAATTTGCCAAAGCATGAGCCATGAGGGTAGACGTGGCGCAGTATAGAAATATAAGCTAAAAAGCTGGTTTGCTTAAAGTTGGGCTTAGAGTATCTCCTAGCCGGATATTCTTGACTAGAGCAAGCTTCATTCTTTCTTTGTTTGTTTTCTTTTTTTTTTTGCCAAATTCTGACATTTATTAGCTATTTGTTGAGGCTTTCAGAAGCTAATGTTATCTAGCGATCGCTAGAGCCCGCCATTCATTAAACCAAATCGGTGCAAACTCGATCCTCATTTAAGGCAAGGCCATAAAGTTTGACAAAATTAAGAAAAAATAGCAAAAAGCGAACAAATCAAATATAATAAATTTCATATGCAAAAACTTTCCAAAAAGGAAGAAGACAATATATAAAAAAAAAAAACATACAATCAAAAAAAACAAGTGATAGAAAAAAACACTTTATGGTCAGTGCCAATGCATAACTTATGGATGCGATACGCGATGCGACATGGCGCTGCCCACATTGGCGGCGATTGCCATGCCACGATGTCCAATGGCTTAAAACGCCGACACAATATAATAATAGCTAATAAAAACGATACCAAGCTAACACAATCGAAACCAGTTTCGGTTCATATCAAAATAAAATCCAAATCGACAACATTCTTGAAAAAAAGTCAACGCACACATTTTGCATAAATATGCATAATATAAGCAAAAACATTATATCATATACATTATTTTGTTTAAGAATAATAATAATAACTTTACGACAGGCCGTGTAGATAGTCTGAATGAATCACGCATATATATATTATATACATTTATCTATATATACAAATTATAGGCATTATACTAAGTAGGGATCTGTGTGTGACCTTGCTAGTCGGTTGCTAACTTTAAGGAAATTAAATTAAATGTGACTTAATGATGCAAATGAACATTCCGAGGATATTGTTGATCCAGCAAGGACATTAAATTGGCAGCTAGCCTCTTTAACTGGTTTACCTGTGGATAATATTTAATTTATGCACATAAAAAAAGACGCTGCAGGTGCTTGCCTATTCGATTCTAACGAAAATTTAATGTGCAAACTTTGCGCATTATAAAAACATTATTGCTAAGGAGACGCAGACATTAAAATATATTTGTGTGTATGTGTACATAAGAAACCCACTGTTAAAACTAGATGAAATTGGTTTTGCAAATCGAATACATCAATTGGCATATTTATTTCACATAGCCCGTCTCTTTCATTGGATAATCAAATGACATTTTGAACGCTACATTGAAGACACACACACACACACACACACACATACCCACACACACACATGTCAGCCATGATGCTGGCCACAAATGTGTCCGCCCTGGGCGAGGGCACGCCCCCCTTGTCTGAGCTGCAAATGTTTCACAGTGAGAAATTCCTATTGAATTTAACCCAAGTGCTAAACATATCGGCGGACAATTTGACCAGCCTGCTGCAAGAACTTGAACCGCATGATCTGCTGGAGCAATCGCCGCGTCCGATGGCCACCCATATGGGCCTGCTGGCAACGCTGAGCGTCGGCTATGCCCTCATCTTTGTGGCCGGCGTGCTGGGCAATCTAATTACCTGCATTGTCATCTCGAGGAACAATTTTATGCACACGGCGACCAATTTCTATTTATTCAATTTGGCCATCTCGGACCTAATATTGTTGTGCTCGGGTAGGTAATCCTACCGTAATCCGTAATCCTAAACTAGCTGCTTAACCGTATGGCTCGCAGGCATGCCCCAGGATCTGTACAACTTATGGCATCCAAACAATTATCCCTTCTCAGACGGCATTTGCATACTGGAGAGCGTGCTGTCCGAGACGGCGGCAAATGCCACCGTTCTGACCATCACCTCGTTCACCGTGGAGCGCTACATTGCCATTTGCCATCCATTCAGGTGAGTGGCCAGTCACTGGCCTTGGTCCTGCCATTGGCTTGATTGATATCAGTTCCCACTAGGCAGCACACCATGTCCAAGTTGTCGCGTGCCATTAAGTTCATCTTTGCCATTTGGATAGCCGCCCTGTTGCTCGCCCTGCCCCAGGCCATACAATTCTCTGTGGTAACCCAGGGCGCTGGCTCATCATGTACGGTAAATGTTGTTTAAAGACGACTTTCAATATACCCTAACAGAAACTGAATGCATTTTATTGCAGAACATCGAGTCATTTTTGTTTGCTCAAGAGGAGTGTCTCACAAATAGAAGGGGGAATGGGTGCTGCCTGTTTTATACAGTGAAAACTCACCAAGCGCATATTCCCATTAGCCAGACACCGCTCTTGGGCGGACATTTTCTCTCAAAACAATATTCCAATATTCTTGAGTGGACAACAAATATCCGACGGCGCTGTCCGCCGAAGAGAGTTTTCGCTGTAATTATTTTATTTTTTTTTATATTTGATCAGTTTTAACAGCTGCTCAATTCGTTTCAGTGCTAGGCTCCCAGTCTTATAGATATATATCACGTCGCTGTCATTTGTATTCAAGATATCTTCATTTTGTCTTCCAAGATATCTTAACTTTACTTGGGACTAACAAGTTCATATATAACCTGTATAGAAAACTCATTTTTATTTATATTATGAAAAGTCTTATAAGCTTAGGGGAATATAATATAGGGGAAAATCGATGAGTTCGATTTATAAGCCATATCGGCCCATTATACTTAGTATATAGCTTTAAAGTCGCCCAATCGGCTAAAAATAAAGTTTTCGTTTATGGCAAAGCTTAGATATGTGACCTGCTATGTGACTGCAAGGGTATTCAGTATTCGGCACGCCGAATGTGCATGTCCACTTATTGCATCTACTTATATATCGCCTCGTCTGTTAGAGTATGTTAGCATATTCGTTGAACTAAGACGTATTCGCGCATCGCATTATATTCGTATTATTCTTGACAGATGAATAACGACTTCTTTGCACATGTGTTCGCCGTATCCGGCTTTCTATTCTTTGGCGGCCCGATGACGGCCATCTGTGTGCTCTACGTGCTTATTGGGATCAAGCTGAAGCGGAGCCGTCTGCTGCAGGCGCTGCCGCGTCGCAGCTACGACGTTAATCGCGGTATCAGCGCCCAGACGCGCGTCATCCGGATGTTGGGTGAGTTGAGGCTCTGCCGACTAAAGGCGCTGACAGCTCAGCAATAATACATTCTGTTGGCATATGCAGTCGCTGTGGCAGTTGCCTTCTTCATATGCTGGGCGCCATTTCATGCTCAGCGCCTGATGGCGGTCTATGGCTCCACATTTGGCATTGAGTCGCAATGGTTCAACGATGTCTTCAATATATTGAACTATACATCGGGTGTGCTCTACTTTCTGTCCACCTGCATCAATCCGCTGCTGTATAACATTATGAGCCACAAGTTTCGTGAGGCCTTTAAGGTGAGTGCATGTGGTTAATGGGCCTGTCGCCGGCTGCTCTAAGACTTTGACCCTTGCAGGTCACTTTGGCCCGTCAATTTCGTCTCTCGGGCAAGCATCAGGGTCAGGGCCTGCCGCACAACTACAGTGCGCTGCGACGTAACCAGACGGGCTCACTGCGTCTGCATACGGTAAATACATTGCAAAAAACACTGCTTTTCGCTGAAACCAAACCGAACGAATTGTATTTAATTTTAATCCTGCAGGACAGTGTGCGCACCACCACAACTTTGACTACGTTGAATGGCAGCAGCAATGGGGCCGCAGTTGGCGGCTGTCGCAGCTCTCAGCGCTTGCAGCGCGGCTCGCTGAGCAGCTCGCATGCCACATTGCTGAGCACGCAGAGTCGCAGCAGACAGGATCTGTTTGCGGCACGAGTTGTAGCCGCTGATGCAGCAGCAACAACAGCAGCAGGAGCAGCTGCAGCTGCAACAGCAGGAGCTGCAGCACATTCTCAGCCACATCGAACGCTGCAAACACAAATTTCCCAACTGTCCTCCGTGGGCGATGCCCACTCACTGCTCGAGGCGGAGCTGCAGTTGCCCGAGGAGCACTACGAGCTGGCGGCGCGGCACAAGTGTCCGCATGCAGCGATGGGCGCCATCGATGAGCTCAGCTGTCAATCGAGTGTGGTGGGCGGTGCCGCAGCGGCGGGTCTGTCCCGTGCACGCCTCAAGCTGACGCGCATCACGCGGCATCCACAAATGCAGACAAGTGGAGCAGCACTTGCCAGCGAGCCAGCGGCAACAACAGCCACAGCAGCAGCAACAGCAGCATCAGCATCAGCATCAGCAGTGGCAAAGTCAACGGGCAGTGGCAAAGTGCGCAAGGCAAAGGCTAAACGCTCAAATACGCTCAAGGGTCTCCGGGCCAAATTGAATTGGCGTGGCAGGCACAAGGAGAGCGCCAACGACAGCGCTGATGGGCAACAAATGCCGCACTCAAGTGTGGCATCAACGCCAAGTGGCGTTTACTGAAGGCACTTCAGCTCGTTCAGTCAGTCCATTCCAGAGATCGCGGCGCCCGGATTGGGGCCAGGGGGCAGGTACTCGTAACTGTGATAAGAGCAGCAGCAGCAGAAGCAGCAGCAGCAGGACAACTACAACAACAGCAAACAATTCCAATTTGCGGCCAACTAAGAGCCAACTATATTCCTAGCAAATACTTAGTCATATATTGTACATATATTTAACGCATGTACTCGTTATATTACTCTGTTCCGCTCAAATATGTCTTTCTCCTTCTCTCTCTCTCGTTCTCTTAATAAAGCAGCCAAATTTAAGTCTCGTATTTGATATCTGGCAAGCGTATCTCTCGGCGCGCATCCAAATTAAGTTCTCAGACTAATGAATTCCATGCAAGTTTTAAGTGCAGCTCCCGCAGAAGCATAATCCCCCAGCAATTAAGATGTCTATCGGCCGCATAAATTCGCTTTTGGTCTAGACGCTAGCAACTGTTCGAGTGGTTTAGCAGGCGGCAGCTGTAAAATGTGAATCTGACGTTTTAAAATGGCTTATGAGTGTGTGCGGGTGCGAGTGTGTGTGTGAGTGCATGTCCATGCCCTTGACTAATTACATGTAATTAGGCAAACCGTTCGAGCACCCGACTTCCATATACCCGCACACCCACTGACTGGTTGTCTAAAGCACTTGTCCAGTCATAAAGCCAAATTAATAAATGGTTAATTTGGTTGCCGTAAAGCTTATTGGCATGAACCAATGCCTCGGTTAAAGATTCTGTTTGCAGACCTCTCTCTTGTAGCGTTAAGGGTAACCCGGATTGAGTTTAAACTTTGGGATTAATGGCACTCGTCTGTTTTTTTGATTTAAGCTCCGATTCGAACTGCGCTTATATATAATATTCAATACATATGTCAGTTAGCTAAATGGTTACGAAGTTTACCCAAAGCTAACTGAATCACGCGGCGTCAGGCTCAAATACTGGCTATATTACAATTTAAATATATGCTATTTAAACATAGGACAGTCTAATTGTTATACTACTACAAATATAATACAATAAAAACATTAATAATTATAATTTTTATTATGGGTGCTTATGAAAAAAGTTCGTCGGATTAACTTGCCAACTTTCAAACTGCTTAAACTTTAGAGTGAAATGCAAAACCAGAGCCTCGACTTTCTCCAGCTAACTTTGTAGCTTAACCTGAACACTTACATATACTTATATACATGTATACTGTGCATGTGAGAGGAGATTTAAGGCAATGCGACATATTACTGAATATTTTATATCTTTGCACTTGTTTGATAATAACATAACTGTGAAATGCGCAGTAAAGATTAAGATTAGGTGAGGATTTATGAAATTTGTTAAATTTGTTTCAAATGCAGTTAAGCATATATAAACAAAAGTGATATATATAAAGATTTAGGTTAGATTAGGATTTAAATTGAAATTAAAATTTATTAATATTTGATGCTATATATATATATAGATATATATTTATATATATACAACCCGGTTTGAAACAAATGGGACAAAACTTAAAATAGCCCAAACATGTTTACATCGCATTTCTTCCGAACAAGTTTAGATTTTGCGAAAAATCTGAAACACGTCTCAAATGATTTTTCATATAACTCCTTGAAAATAGGTTTGATTGATAAGGGAGGATACAAAGAGGAATACATTTTTGCAACTGTGTGAAACACCCCTCAAATGAATTTGAAGAAAGGTATTTGAAATTAAGTTGAGGCCGATCGGACGGCTCTGCGTTGATTACAAATCAGTCAGTCAGTCAGGACAAACAGTTTTATATATAGAGATTGGATAGATTATAACTGCCAATATGCCCATTTATTGCTTTGGTGCAGGTATTTAGAGTGCCAGCTGTGCAGTTTTTGGCGCATTTAGTTTTAATTGTCAGCGAAATTAATTAAGAGCCAGACCAAAAACCGCGTGTGAGCCAAAAAATAAATGTTTAGCAATTCATAAAGTACAGCATATGTTGAAAACTGGTTGGTAAAATATGTATGAGCATATTAGATGCAGCTATGGCCACAACACGGCGAAATCTGGCCAAATGAAAAAGGCATTTATAGCTGCCAAATGGCGCAGGTGTAAATATGCAAAACATGTCACATGACATGTAAACGGAGACGCATGCATGTGTGCAGTATTATTAAAGCATACTTACGAAAGTTTCTGTTTACATACATGCTTATAAGCGCACAAGCTACTTACACCAAATATTAAGTATACGCAGTGAGTCCCAAAATGAAGCTTGGTCAATGGCCAGGCTGGCATTTTATAGCTGTCAATTGAGCTGAGTAAGTATCAGATTTACTTTACTATGCTAATCATATGCCTTATGACAAACTGGCGACAACAGGCACAACATTCAGTTAGTCTGGCCCGGCGCAAATACAAAAAAAAACCTTTTCATCAAATTCGCCAGCATTTATCGTATGTGACATCAAAGTCAAAGGCTTTTGCGAATAGTTGCCGATGAACTCTATCAGTTTTTATGCGCAACACAACAACAAAAAACGAAACAAAATAAGCGTATAATATGCAGACATGGCCAAAAATTGGTTACGCTGGCAACCGCACAATATATGTTACTGTCCCTTATGCCATCAAAAAAATTTACTATCACTTTGCCATGCGTTCAACTTGTCTGGCCGTGCAGACAGAGCGGGGACTGTATCATTCAATTTACTGGCAAATAAAATGCGCCTTTATTTTTTGTTTTGTATTTTAAATTTACTAATACGTCTTTGTTTATATCGACACACACGGACACGCACACGCACACGCACACACACACGGTCATAACGCATAAATTGCATACAAATACAGCTACAATGCGGGAATTGTAGCCGGCGCCCCGAGTACTGAGCGCTCAAAGGGTCTGCGAATTCTACGGGGTCGGGGCCTAGGCAATAAACTCGCAATTCCATTTGTATGCATGAGCCCAGTTAGCAATTCAAATGCGCGTTATCAATACGGGACGTAAGGGCGTAGTGGCCGGCAATTAAGTTATAAATTATAGTTGCCTACTTTTTAGCGGCGTTGCAAACCTGAGCTTATTGCAGCTGCGACAATTGAAATTATTTATCGCTCTCTAAATTGGCTCACACTTGTCGCCAACATACACAAGACTCAATTAATTAACACACGCCTCGTTTTCATTGTAATTGCCAGACGTAAGCAGCCTGTGGCAAGCACACACGCACATTTACTTTGGCAAATACATGGGCACACGCCCTGTTTTGTTGCAAAATAAGAGTACGCATTTCAGATGCCAAACATGTTGGCCAGTGTTGCGCAGTTAAGTTGGATAAGTGTTGTGTATGCCTTCGTGCTCGCGAATATCGTGCGTGTTCGCATTAAGAAGTATTGGATAAGTATAAGGCTAAAAAAAATCGTAATCTTCATTTAACAATGTGCAATCAGTCTTCCAGATAGTGTCTGCCTCGACTATAGTGTCTGCCTCGACATTGCGCGTGATCGTGCCGTTTCGTGTCAGACACGCGCCCATCTCTACATTGAGGTGCCAGCCATTTACAACCTACACTAAGCCCAATCTCTAACCACAAAAGAACAACAATACTTGATATCAAAGTTCTGAGAATTGATGCTGTTTAGCTGGCACGTACGAATCGTTCTGGTTGCCAGGCGGTGCACAAGGAGGTGCGGCTGGCGGGTGGGGTGTGCGGATTGATGTTTGCTTAAGCCCGGTATAACGTATCAAATCTTTAGCTTTTTGCCATTGACTGCACGCCCTGACTTGATGATCTTTCGTTTCATATCCGTTTCCTTTGGTGTTGTTCTTGTTGTTGTTGTTGGCAGTTGTTTTTGTGGCATTTGGCACGTTGTTAGTGGCCTTTGGGAGTTTGCGATTGTCGTAAAATGGAATTTGATAGGCCATGACATGGAAAATGCGTCTGCCCACACACAAGTATGTATATCCTGCGATTGCCTAAATGCCAAATAAACTGCAATTCAATCACAGTGTCTTGTGCTGTGCTATAACAAGACCAAAAGTTCAGGTCGGGCGTAACGGACAGCGCTATACCCTGCACAGAGTGTTATAATAGCCGAATACAGTTGCTTTGGAGTCTTCTTGATAAAAACAATTATTAAATTGGTGACTTACAGACTGTAAGAATATAGATTCAATACTTTTTAAGTGGTATTCAGCTTAACGACATATAAACAAGTTCTTTGACTATATTTCTTGCGGGTAAATTCCAAATTTGGATTTTCTATATACAGCGCCCATAACATTTTGGGACGTTGCACAAAACAAATAGACTTGTTTTCACTGTGTAAACAGAGTATAACAGCTAAAAATGTTGCAGACAGCAATTTTTGAATGCGGTCTACAATATTTCTAGCCTAAATACTGATGCAAAGATATGGGAACAGTATTTTCGATAAATGCTCGAATACCCCACACACGCCCCTGCGCCCCTTTCAGAGCAGAGTAAACTTGCAAAATAATTTGCAAAACGAACTTGCGACAAATTGATGCCAGTCCCTTCGATAAAACTTACGTAAAATCCTTGTGTGTTTGCTGTGGGGCTTGGGTCACATTGAAAATATGATACACTGGGAGGGCGAATCACCGCTCAGGCTAGAGTATGACAAATGCCTATATCATTCATTGTCAGTAACTATGGTGACCCGTGGGAGTTGGTTTTGGCATAAGCCCTCAAAATGCTCGAATCTGTATGAATAACAAAAAATATAGACAACTGACCAGTTCGGCATAAATTGCCAAGATTTAATTTCAAATGTTAAAGGAAGTGTGTGTAACATTTGTTGCATAAGTCCCACTTTAATGTTAAGAAACAGCTCTTTAATTTAAACGTAACATGAATATCTAATATGGGCACACAAAAGGTAAAAATAAAAGCAAACTCGGCTGAAATCGCCAACATTATTTTGAAATTCGAAAGCATTGTATGTGTTATTCGCTGCAATAAATGCAATTAATGCTAAAATAACAGCCTATGAAATGTTACAGAAAACATGTAACATGATTTAACATGGGCCCTGTAAATGTTGTGAGTACAACTAAATGTATAATTCAAATGCGTTTAACGCGTTCTTTAAAGCTGACTTTAATGCTAACAAAAATAACCTGTGGAATTTAACCTAAAACTTAAAATAGCTCTTATATTTAATATTAACATGAGCAAATTGAATAAATTAAGATCGCAGAGCGAAAACATTTTAAAACGGCTACCCAAATATCGAACCTGACTCGATATAAGGCACGTGTTATTGTTTATTTATTAAAGAGAGCTTTAATATAT